CACACAAAGAGTGGAACGATTGCCAAAATAATTGGGATACTTGGCTTCCTYACCCCGGTGCTGAGGCAACAAAGATTTGTCCAGTGCCTTGAAAGAATGGAGGAGGAGGTGATTTYATTTCTGTGAACAAGTTTAGTAAATCTCCTACTATCTTGTTCTACAGTTAGCACATCCAGAATGAAACTCACTTTGCAGAGGTGACAAGAGAGCAGGTCACAAGAGTGACTGATGGGTGAGAGATAAACTCCACGAAGTACAGTGTAAGGAGCTTGATATGTTCGATGTATTGAGAAGGAGAGATAAAAAGTTAAATAGTACAGGTTGCCTTAGCCTTTCACCAACAGAATAACTAATGAGGGTAACTATAATTGGAAAACTTTAATAAGGTTTACCCTCAAGTATTGCAAATGATGCTACTTGTAGTCGTTATGACTATTTTAAAAATTCTTTCTAAACATAATCTTCAAATCAGCTTCCCAAGAGGAAAAATATCATGTGTTTTCTGGATGCTTTTGGAGCTTCTTTGCAACTTTTGAACATGTGAATCACCATTTTCTCTGTGCCATATTGTGCAAAAAATGATAGTCTGCATTAGCCTTAATTTGCTTTAACATTGCCATGATTGCATTTGTTCACATGGTGATAGACAGGTGTACTTCAGTGTCAGCTAGCCACCTGCAGAAATCAGTAAAAACCCACTAGTTTCATTTCCTTGTTCTGCAGCTGACTGTAGATGCAGTCAAGAATAAATCATTTTCTCTTCTCAAAGATGGTCAGTGCTTATGTCACTTCATCATGTAAGACTTTCTTCTAWTTTTTTTATTATGTGTGATGATGTGTGTGAATATATAAATTGATTTTCATTTTTTATATAAGAAGTTCTTTAATCTATACCTTGAAGCTCATTTTAGTTTGAGACATTTTCTCCTTCCTCTGCATAATGAAGTTTGTCTTTTCAGGTAAGCCTCATATAAAGTTAGTGCCAGCTATGGCTGGGTCTCAGATTTCAGAGACCTCTTGCAATTTTATGACGGCATAGCTGTATATGTACTTGAATGTGATTTTTTGAGGACATGGAATTTATGTGATCACACTGGGTGAGAAGGATCTGCCTTTTAGTCCCTTGATAACTTTTCAGTGTGTTGGCCAGTTTCAGCCAGTTGAACTGAGGTTGCTCAAAAGGTGCTGGTTTTACACAGTATTCCCAAACATAAATATCTGTTTAGAAAGAAGATACTCTATAATATCTTGGGTTAGGGTTAGGTTGTGTTTCTTACTCACCTTCAATAATTGGTCTGCTCTATTGTTTGAGRTATGCCATCATTGTTCAGTAAAGGAATGGAAAACTGAATAGTAAATCAAAAAGAATCACACCCGATTCATTTGTAGCTGTGTAATATACTGGATTGGTACAACACTATGGGCATTGCAGCATAAGGAACAGAAAGCAATTGATAAAGCAGGACTGAGAGAGCAGTAGGAACTTAGCCCTATTAGACATCAGGGAATCCCTGTTAGAAATCAAGGCAAATGTTAAAACTTTCTGTGGAGAGGTCAGTGTCATTTGCAATAGGTGTCTCCCTGGACAGGATCACTCTGTTGAGTGAGGATGAGGAATCTTATGGAATATTTGGTTTGTACTGGGTCAGGAACTCTGAACTGATTTTCAAAGCTAAGTTCATGATGTATTTCTTCTCTGCTGTGCTACATCCCAATCCTTTTTCATGTGCCCTAGGTATACCTTCTTTCTTTAGGAAGAAGTGATGCTGCATGTTTAGCACAGTACAGTTTAATCTGGTTAATTTCCTGACTCAGTCCTCTATAGGACAGTTTTCCTGAATTTGTGGTAGTAGGATTCCTATTTATGGATTCCTTTTTATCTTCACTATAAAGACTCGCAAAAAGATCCCAGAAAAATCACACAACTGTCTGAAAATAAGTCCTATTTAGATAGTGAAGTCAGAATAATGATTTACAGATAAAGTTTTTCTTCAGTAAGTTATGTATTTTCCTTTTTTACTTTATGAATGTCTGCAAGCAATTTGCGAGATCAGATTTTTACCATGAAGAAAACCATAGGTCATTTTAAAACAGGGCATGTAATCCTCCAATACATATAAATTGAAATACTGCTGAGATTGGAAACCTGCCTGTACACATTGTAATTAATTCATAAACAGAAAAAAAGTAAAGTTCATTAATTTTGAACTGTTGTTTATTAGCATGTCAGAAATTTGTTTTAAGAAATTCTCTATCTATGGTTGGTATGATTAGCTCACAGTATTTTTCTGAAAAGCTTCTCAGTGTGATCATGTTTCTGCACACACTTCAGGACTGCTTGTGGATTTTACTAAAARTATCAATGAGTCAGGCGCATATAGAGACAGAAAACAACACCAGTTTTCCATAAGTCTGTATGATAGGAACAAAGAAATGCTGGCGGGCTTAAATGTCTATTCAAATCTGCCTATTTATTTATGCCTACTCCAGACAGAGTTCAGACAAGATTCAAAGCTTTGCAACTTCTAGAGTTTTTATAGAGAATGCTGCTAGTGACAAGACAGATGTCAATTCAGAGAACTGAAGAGCAGGTGCCACAAAAGAAGCCTCTGTTATTTATTCACAGTGAAATCTTCAAACTATAATGACCCCAACACAAGTTACAGAACATTTTTCTTTCACATAATATTCCTTTCTGACATCTTTAAAGGGATATCATTACAAACACCAGAAAGAGGATACACATTCATTCGATTTTGATTTAACTCTTGATTTACTGAAGTTACTGTGTGCAGAAATATGGTCTGAACAGATGTTTAACATGGCAGGAAACATTATAGATCAGAGATCCAGATAACAACTAGGAAATGCATAGCATCTGGCACCTTTTTGAAAGCAAACCTGCCAATAATTAATTACACATATGAGCCACTCTATCCCTGTCTAATGAGTTGGACACTTACTAAGATGTATTAGACTATGGAACTGAGGTTAACTGCTCATGGCCTCTCCTCTGTCTCTGACTTGTGTGGTCCCAGTGTAACTTAAGGGTAGAAATTGTTGCTGGCACTCAGATTATATTATCATTATTACATTGATTAATAATCAAGATGTCTTTATAATCCAAAATGTGAGGAGTTCCCATTAGACAAAAAATGGGCGTCTTCTGTTGCTTTGACAATGGAGGAAAAAAAAAAAATGACTGAAACTGTGAGACTAGTTGTAAAGTTTTGTTAGGAGTGCAAAGTTTTGTTAGATATAAAAAATAAAATAAATACACACCCTCAGGAAAACAAAAGCTGGTAACAGTGCAAAGTATCCAGGTTTGCTGGAAAGAAGCTGTGAAAGTTATCCTTGAAAATACAGAAGGCATCAGATGTTTGAAGTTACTAAATTATGGCTGAAAGTGCTAATATAAAACTTYTATTTTTAGGAACCAAAGAGTACCAATTGCTCTTCTTTCAAATTATATAAGGAAATGCTCACAATACTGGATCCTCTAAAGAGTAAGAAAAGGAGTTTGTTGTTTGTGGTCCTTGGGTCCTACTTCAGAAGTATTAACCACTTTCTCACAGATTTCTTTTCCAAGCTAGTATCCTGTATTCCAGTTAAAAGCCAAAAGGCCTAGAAAGAACTGGTCTTTTTCTTGGAATTCTAGAAAAGTACCCTCCCTGATGTCCATCTCCCTGGTACTCCCTTGATAGTCCATCTTTGTTGTAATAGTATGTAATAACACCAGTTTCTGACTTTCTTCTTGCTGTAACTTTTGGCTTTACTGGATTTTTTTTTTGTGAGTTTTCCTACTAAACTACTGCTACTACTAAAAAAAACCACCAAAAAACCAAAAGAAACAAACAAAAAAACCAAACTAAAAAGCCCTACAAATTTATTCAACACTCAAAATCTCTGTGACCCCAGAGAGGGACACAGCCGCTGCTTCTCCACCGCCGTGCCCCTGAGCCGAGGGAYGCGGCCCGGGCTGGCCCTGCACTCACCGGTCTGTCCTGGAACGAGAGGGGGACATCGTGAGGACACAGCGGGGACACCGCGGGGACACGGTGAGGACACCGTGAGGACACAGCGAGGACACCGCGGGGACACCGTGAGGACACAGTGAGGACACAGCGGGGACACAGTGAGGACACGGCGAGGACACAGCGGGGACACGGCGGGCACACCGCGGGGACACGGTGAGGACACAGTGAGGACACAGCGAGGACACAGCGAGGACACGGCGGGCACACCGCGGGGACACCGTGAGGACACAGCGAGGACACAGCGAGGACACGGCGGGCACACCGCGCTGCCGCCGCGACCCCTCAGAGCCCGGCGGGCGGGAAGCCTCACAGCTGCGCCTCGCCTCGCCTCGCCCCGGCCGTGTGCGAGCGGCGAGGCCCTGGAAGCGCCGCTCCTCAGAAGCAGCACAACCGCTGGTAGCTGCAAAGATGAAAGCAACAAGTGACATCGGCTTACCTCCAGAAAAGGGCCCGTGTGGTTTTGTTCTCCTGGGACTGGACACAGGTCTTGGTGTTGTGGTCTGGCTGACGTCGTGGTGTTCGGTCAAAAGCTGGACTCTATGATCTCAGAGGTCCTTTCCAACCTTAATGATTCTATGATTCTGTGACTTGACTTATTCATAGTGAAATTACCCTTCAATCTGCAGAAAACTATCTGCAGTGCTGCTCAGGCTGTGTCAGAGTGGGGAAGAACCAGTGGAAACCCTATCAGCTGCAGCACAAGTTACAGCTGGGTAGAGGCTGTTGGCAGCATCGCTCCCTGTCAATGCACACCACTGTCCTGGGCCAGTCCCAGAGCTTCGCTGTCACCTCTCAAAGGCTGTCACACCAGTTCCACAACTTTCTGCAACTTGGTTATATTGTGCCCACTACTAAATTTGCCAAGTTCCCTCAGTGTGCTCTACTCTTGTTGATGCTTATACTTAATTCTCAAGAAACTCAAGTACACATCAACCAAAAAAACCCAAACATGYCGCATAAATCTATCTTGAGTTACTTTATTTTTCACAATAATAAAAAATAAATTAGTCATACACAAAAATAGTTAACATTTTTTCATCAAAGAGAAAATGTATACAATATGAAAAGGATGCTGTACAGTTCTGGTTCAGGTACATTGCCACAGATACATATTCCCGAACGAGTCAGAAAGCAATCTGCCTATACTCTCCCCTTTTAATTCACTCAAGGAACTGACTAATCAGAAAGTTTAGAAAATTGTATTATGGATTTACAGTATGACATATATACAAAAATATATATGTAATACCTGTGCTATAAAATTCCCTAAAAAGCTGGGTTAGTATAATGAAAAAGCTGGACAAATTTTGAATGGTATATGTAAATAAATACATATTAGGTCCCTTTTAATAAAAAAATCTGCTTATTCTAAATATTTGAAATATTTTGGTGCAGTGGCTTATTCCATAGACACAGCTCAGAATTACGTATTTCCCATAGACATCTTGTATTTACAAATAACAACAAAATAAGTTACAATAAAGTATATCCTTCTGCCAAAATCAGTTATGAGGGTCAAGTAGACAATTTTATACATATTAAAAAAAATAGGGTTTCTTTTGTCTCTCCTGTCCTTCCTGATCCTCTCTGTAGATCCTGAGTGTCTATGACGGGACTTTACAAGCTCGTGTGTACCCAACCCCTGCCAAGGCCACTGGTCTCAAGCGACCCAAACTCAGCACGGAAAAACAGGTCAGGACAAGCAGCAATGACTGTTGCTGAAAGGTCAATGATTCATCAGAAYTAAGCTCCCTCCTCTCCAGGTATGATTGGATACTTATCTGTATCCAGTTATACTACATGGGGATATAACTGCGAAGTCATTCTTCTGAACTTCTGGTTAAAAGCTGAGAAGAAGAAAACCAAGTTCAGGTCTGCTATGAATTCTCTTAAATGGAATTTTCTCCCTTTCACGAGGTCTGAATTTTGCCCACACTGAAATATTACAATGATTACAAGTTTGCTTCAAAATCCATTGAAAATGTTTTGTGGATGATTTTTCATTTCTGATGAAGAAATAATTATTTTATTTTCTAAACAATGCCTAGTTTAATCTCCCACACACATTCTGTAATTTTAGAAATAAAGGAAGTTTACTTTCATGTTCAAAATTTCATGTTTCGTATTCCATTACAGGCATGCATATAAATCATCTGCCCAATACAACAGAAGAGCTTTTACAAAGTCAGAGACGCCAAGTCTCAAGAAAACCAGGTAACACACAAAGCTTTTCCTTTCTGAGGACCATAACTCTTTTGTTGTGCAATAGATGTTACATATTAGAATAAAGGGCCACTACAGATTTCAACAGCTGTGCAATCATAACTTCACTGGACAGGAATTAATTTACCATGTACTTTACTACTATGCATCTAAAACTAACCAACATAGATATGCATAGACAGAAAAATCCAGGGGCTGGCAGGAATACAAACTCTCTCAACAGCTGGGCTGTTAACACAGATTCTTATAAATCAAAGGCCAGATCAGGATTTCAGTAATTCTGGCAAAATTTAGTATTTTCACCCAAAGGACAAAGRGATGAAWGTGAGATAAGAAGGAGAGGAGAAGCCTTGCTGTGGGTGTAAAAGGGAGACAAGTCAGGATGAGGATGGGGAAAAGCAAAGCCCTAAAAGGCACATTTTACTACTTAGAGTGGTACAGATGATGAAGAGAGGAAGCAAGGCATTTCCTTCAGGAAGATATAACCTCCCTATAGTAGCCATAGGMTGCTTGAGCACCTCCCTCCTTCCTCCCTCAGTGGCGACCACTGGCACTTTGTAGGACTCTAGATTATATGACTGATACACAACTGCACCACATTGTCATGAACTGGGATCTAAGCAGTACCATTAATATTAAACACTGCTTTACTCATACAGAAAGTTCTCCATTTGCTGAAGCATTGGGACAAAACAGGAACAGTTTATGTGTGTGATGAGGAAGACACCAGGTCCCTGTGCAGGGACTCTGCTGTGGTCCTGCACTGAGCCTGTGGCCATCCAGTCCAGGTGGACTTGCAGGCTTGCAGCATGACCAAACCTCCTGCACTGCATTCCCCAGCTCTGCCTGGCCTCTGAACAAGCCCTGCCCTTTTCACAGCCTGGAGACTGAAGATCAGACACCAAAACAAACACTGTCTCATTGCTGGCCAAGTCAGACACATTCAAAGGGTCATTCCCAYAGGAGAGACCCTCTCACTTCCACACCATCTGCTGTGAGAGGAAGGGAAGACTCCATGAATTCGGTCTCTCAAACTCAAGTGTGCATTTAGTGTACACAAGGAATTCTACCAACAAATGCTTGAAAGTGACATTGCACAGGAGCTAGTAAACCCTGATGGACTCTTGGCAAGTTGACAAACTGTACCAGGAATCCTCAATTCCAAAAGAAAAGTGCTTTGAGACACAGAGCCTGCCCTGGATGAAGCTGATTTTAGCCAGCTGCAAGTCTCTAAGACATGAAAATTGTATGCAGATTTTACCCCATAAGCAGCTGGTCTCTTTAAATAAAGTATTTAACTTACTGTGGTATTCCTGGATTTTATAAGGCATCTTCAAGGCAAAGAAGCATTTTTCCACTGTTCTGCATGATTTTGACTGATGTTAAAATGCCAGAAAGAGAAATTAAAACATTTAAAATCAAAGTTTGCATAATTGATATTTGCAATTGATAATATGCATCATTTCTTATTTATACTGTTTTCATATCTGCTCTAAGTCTACTACATTCATTAAGGCCACCTTTGAATTATGGAAAGTAAACTCAGATCCTCTGCAGGCATCATCTTAAATTGGGGCACTGTTCCACTAGAACAAACACTTGCTATAGGCACAATTTCAAAACTATGCTTGTGAGATGGTGAATCTTAGCACAGCTCTTACTTTGTGCAGACAATATTAGTATATCAAAGTGCTGAAGAAAAGGGCTCATTAGTTCATTTTACAGGAAYAACTATTTTAATAATGCTGACATATGAGAAGAGGTGATAAATGATTAAGTCCAGCAGCATTCTGGAACTTTCTTTGCCATTATGTGTTTAATTAGGTAAAACCTCTTTTTTCTTTGATTTCTCTGGTACATCTGAAAAATAACTCTTAACTTTGAAAACAGTACAATTTATATAACCATACCTCACTACATTCAATTCACAAAGCTGCATACGTTAGATGTAATACAGGGTGATACTGCTATGTGTATTTATATATTCTTTGACAGCTGTCACAGACACTGTTTCCTTTAGTAGCAGCTTAGTAGAGCCTACAAGATGATCCTCTTCATAAAATAAGCTAATGGCCATATACTCYAGAGCAAAAGAACAGATTTTACAAAATAGGTGGATCTGTCTATGTGCTGAGTCACTGATGGTCWCACAGCCAAAGCGTGTGAAAGAAGCATTTGTCCTATGGACTGACTTCAAACCTGATTATCTCTGCATCTTATTGGCCTTGGGGTTTTCAGGAAGCCTTTTTATGAAACAGGACAGGTATTTCCCTCAAGCTGACAGGAAACACTTCCTTGGGACGAAAGAGACAACAGCAAAAATTATATAATTTATGTCAAGATTTGCTGCAATGAGATTCACAGATGAAAATTTGTATTCAGAAGTACTGGATTCCAGAATTGTTTACACTGCACTTTCTCCATATCATTCTTCAGTTAAGAATCTAAGAAATATAATATGATAACAAACCTTTAAGTTATTTTCATGGACAAATCTTTATAATACAAGGGAAGATTGATGAACTTGAATTAGAAGTTTCCTAGAATTAGAATTTCTGATTCTAACAACTTTATATCTATTATTTACAGTGAAAAAGCCCAAGTCAAGGTGTACACAAACAGTCAATGACATTACTGGCTGACACACAAYGATTTATAGTCAAAAAGAGTACCTTCAAATTTTAGGGGAAACACTTCTTCATTTCATGKAGCCAAACAGTAGTAGTTCATCATGTCCAAAACACGTTTTTCAAGAGTGACCAAATCAAAACTTTCAATGGTTTACCTCAATGCAAGGCAGCTTGTAGACTACAGGAATTCCACCTTCCTGTGGCTCCCAGGTACCACACCAGCAACCTTTGCCTCTTCAGCATTCCACTCCCTTGTCACATCCTCTCCACCAAAGCAGTAAGAAAAGGATACACAATGAGGCTCAAACATGGCTCTGCCATCAGTAGCAGGATACCTTAACCACATCTATAGGACTGACTGAATATAGATTATTACAGCTGTTTCACAACTCAGACATCAGGCACCTTAGGAACAGATGCAGAGATGGGCATCACTCATTTACAAGCAATATGCTGTGATAAACAGCTGAATAAGCAGACGGGTTTATTTTTTTCCCTCAGCCTTATTTACACATTTGAAAGACCTCTCAAGTAAAGCCTAGAGAACATGTAGATAATGCAAAACCTCACCTTCACTGTATAATATACTATTTGCTTTTAGCAAGTCCCAAGGCTGAGTACAGTAATTGCAGAAATGAAAAATCACCACTTAAATTCAGCTCTAAGTTCGCAGCCGTTCTTGAGTAATAGACAAGGAGTGGTATGAATAGATCTGTGCAATGAAACASTGAGTAAAAAAAGACACTATGTCATAATAACTGATCAAAACCTGAAGAATGTCAATAGCTAAGATCCCATTTCTGCAGATACTCAGCTACTAGACGCATACCGCTGCCTGACACCAGGAGTAACGGACTGCAATAAGGCACGCAGGCCTGGATCCTTTGGTGGCTCTTTCAGAAACTGCTGACATATCCAGACTAGGTCTGGACAAAGTACTTTGGTTTGGTAATTGTTAAACAATAGTGCAGAGACAAGAATTAGGCAAGATCCCAGTYTGCTGAAATAACTTCCTCATATAAAAGAGACCTCACCAAAGGAAACAATCACTTTTTAYACCAGCAAAGGCTCTTCACCTTTCTGGTTAACCTGTCTCACTGACAGGTGCAGTTGTTAAAGTTTTAAAGGGTTAGACACTAGTGTCCCTCTGGTAAGTCATGTATTTTAAAATCCATACAAAATTATAGAARTTATCTTCATGAGTTTATGAATTGAATATAAAGGCACCTTCTGGCAGTCAAGCATGTATATATTTGCTGACTGAGGACAGGACATTAGTTAGAAGTACAACTGAGAGAGCTTAACAGTGATTTATTATGAATGGACTGAAGTAGTTAAAAATATATTATTAAAARTATACTTTAGAGTGCTAAGAAATGGATGATAAATGGTTTTCAAGGGACTGGTTCTTTGAGAAATAACTTTTTTCATGCACATGTTTCACTGATTTAGTCATTCTAACTCAAGGCAGTTCAAAATACCAAGTAAAAAGTAAGCACTCAGAAAATAATGGAGCAGCTGCATCTATATTGGTCAACTATCTCCAATAATTGCCTGCAATTGATTTTAGTTTTCATKAATTTCACAATCTTAAGGCTGATATGTTCCTTAAATAATTATCTGATGAGCAGGTGCAAAWAACAGTATCATTAAAAATGAATGCTTAAAAAAACCCCCACGATTTTACAACAAACATCTTAAAGAGATAATTGCAAATAACTGTAACTGAAMGGGTGTGAGATTTAACCATAGTCTTGATGCACTCAGCAATATAAACCCCATCTCTAAGAAGCTCTAACTGCTGCAGTCAAAGCAGTAGCACTGTTGGAGCTCCGTGTGAAGAGTGCCACTGGTGTTTTGAGCAGAGCAGTTGTTGTTATCTCCGGCCCAGGAAGCCCGACTGTCTGTTTGCAACACGGGTACAGGAAGCACAACAGGCTGTTTTGTAATAGGTGTAGACACAGAGCCGGGCCTGAACCACCACGTTGCAGTTGTAGTATTTATCCTTGCAGTTCTCATCTGTGGAGAAAAAGGGAGAGGGAAGAAAATCAAGAAAACAGTTTCTTGCACCAAAATTTAAACCTTCGTTGTCAGGTCAAAACAGGTTATCTATGAAAATTAGTTAGATTATTTAAGATTTCATGTAAAGATACATAAAGCATGGAAGAAATCTACCTATTCCCGTTTCCCCAGGTTTATCATGTTGTTACTTAAAGTATGTTGAATAATTCTCAACTGAAAATTGTTGGAGAACATTCAGAGTTAAAACCATTTCTAAACTCTTGTATCTTTGTCTTCCTAACCATTTTCGTTACTACAAAAATGAAATCTGTATGAGATGAATGACTAATCCCGATGCAAATTAGATGGATTTGTTTATTTACTACATACAAAAGAAAATACCTCCATTGCACTTAATATCTTAGTTTAATGTTGTTGGTTCTTATAGAACCTGTTACCAAATACAGTATATARTACATGCTCCTTTTCTTTTGTTTTAAAGACTGTGCCAAGAGAAACCTTGGAGAATGCAGGGAGGCTGCAGAAAACCACCCTGTATGTACCATTTTCACAGAGGCASATCTCTCACATTCTTAGCAACTTCAAGAGTAAGCCAATTTCTTACACATTACAAGGAAAACATTTTTATTGGAAAGAAGCTTTTAAAGCATAGAAAAGAGCCTTATTTTGTGTAAAAATAAAACTCTGAACTCGATAAAGAAAATATATTATTAAAGCCTCTGCAAGACTATGAAACAAGTTCTCCACTAGATGGGGTTCCATAGTTAAAACAGAAGTTTCCTCTGCATTACCTATTTCAGGGACACAATCCTGTGTATTACATTGTTCTTTCTCTTCAGGTTTGAGCTGTGGATCACACTGAGTACTGGCTGCCATGTCATCCGTTAGACACCGCACCTCCCGTACTCGAAATCCTCCTTCACAGGAYTTGGAACACTGAAACAATTAAGCTGAAGTTCATGAAGACCATAGGAGATGTGTAATTACAGAGAGGAAAAAAGAGAACCTTGAAGGCAGCCCCAGGCATCCCTGTAGTCTCTTACCAACTTCACCCCTACAGGTTTTTATTTTCTACCTATGAACCTCTTAATTTGTTCAAGATCCCCAAGTATTTTTGACCACAAGAGCAACAACAGGGCAAGTAAATGCAATGGATACCGTGCAACTGAAAGCAAGCTAGAATAGCTCTCTTTCTGAATTTATGACTCAGSATCTTGCTTCTTTAATTAGCCTTGTCACTCTCTGCTCATTTAGACGTATCTCCCAAATCTACTCTTCCCACAGAGTTCAGATTTCCTGCTTTAAGAACTTACTGCACTGAACTTTACTTTGCCTCACCCTCCACCGTCCCTTTTGCCATTTATATACAAGCAGGAATAATTTCAATTGCCTTTTTTTATAGTACTCAATTATTTTTCACTTCTTGAAGCACAATGACTTTATCAAGCAATTTAAGTTTCTCTGAATTTCTAAAGGAAATATTTCTGTGCTCCTTCAGGGTCTGTTATGAAGCCAGAGACTTTTGTACTTGCTTGTTAATGGTRTTGTTAAAGCCAATTATTACACATTTCTGCCCATAGTGAAGCAAATCCCCACTGACTTAGGATTTTGCCTGAGTGAGGTCTTTGAGATTTGGCTCACTGTCCAGTTTGACCTAATGCTCAAAAACTTAATTAAACCTGAGTCATTTATGATTAAAACCTTAATAGCCCAAAACCAGTAACAATGTTTTATTTCTGACTCTTTTTGGCATACTTATTTCTTTTCTTAACGTTGCATAAACAACTTACCACAGTCATAAATCATATATTGTAAAAACACTAACCAAAGTATTCTCAATATGATATTTTGAAACTACTTTTTTCATCCTTAAGTACAATCTTTCCCCACATTAGAAAGGGAGCCATGTGCAACAATAATAGAACATGTTTTCCTTCTGTTACATGACTGTACARAACACTGCAATTATTCCACATCCAGCCATAAGAACTTCAGGCTTGCAGAGATCTGGAGCCTTTAGAATGGAACCAAAACACACATCCCATGTCACASAAACCATTCTGAGCTGCATCCACATTGCAGAGCCGCCATTGGGAATCTGACTTAAGGCTCAACAAAGGGTCCAAGTTACTGCATTAAATACAACATCATCTCATTCTAAGATAACCATGGACTTCCTGATTTTCATTTAGGACAAAAATGTTGATTTTTTGAGTGGTGAAAAGCCAATAAATTATGTCAAATATAGGAAATGACAGAAAGATAGATGAAACCACAGCATTTTGTGGCACAGTGGTGAATGTAGCTGGTCCACTTCCAGGGGAGACTGAAGATACATTAAATTGTACAATGCATTTTCYGTCAGTGAAGTTCCAAGTATTACAGTGAAGAGTGTACAGTAAAATATTATGGTAAAACTGACTCTAAAAAATGAATACATCCCTCCTTCTTTATTAAATGCTTCTGAATTTTTACAAAACTAGAGATCTGAAAGGAATTTCTAAGTGCATCACATTGTCTCATTGTAAGGACCAAACCACCTTCTTTAAACAGGAAGATTCTATGAAGAAGAGATCAGTGACAAAAAAAAACTGTGCAGTGGTCTTTTTCTGGTCAAGATACTTCCTTAATTTTCTAAGCTTCACCRGGTAAAGAGTAAGCATTCTTTTAATTTATTATTTTTCGTATTATTTATTTATCATTCCTGTGCAAAATTAAATCAATTTCATGACGGGTGGTTGTATCCAAATTGTGTTCTCTTTCCATATAAACAGAAGAAGATGTATCATGCCAAGTACAGATACAGGAAAATGTGGCAGACTTACTGTGCTCCATTCTGTATGAAACCACTTAGATCCACATGGTTTGAGGTAGCAGGATTGCTGGCTGGGAGGTTTTTCCAAATAYGAACATTCATGGGGATCCAAAACATCAAAATTACCTTCAGTTTTCCTAACACAAATTACTTCTCTCTGTTGAGTTCCACTACCRCATTCAGTAGAGCACTGTATCAGAGAACAAAAGAAGGAAATTGTTATTATGCTCATGTCCTTCAACTTGTTAATAGCGTAGCGTGTTTCTCCATGTGACATGGTACCACARACTCAAAATATATTTCTAGTTATTTTTATGAAGACTCTAAGTGTACTTCTGGAAAAATCTTGAAGTGCAGTTTTACCTGTAGCTACAAAATTAAACTGGTATTTATTTTTCTAATCAAAGGAGAAACATAACTCACTTTCTCCATAAACAGTGTTACTGCTTCTCACTGAAGCAGGATCACATGGGCTGCGCTGAACTTTGGAGGGTTATAAGGTTAGAGCACAGTTTTTGCAGCTTTACAAAGCCTCACATTCTGTGCTGTTTTTACAAACTGCCTTGATCTGCCAGAGAGTTATTTTCATGTTTGCAAGTATCTGTGTGATGTAGTGTTGGTTCCAGTCCTGAAAAGCAAATTTGACTCACTTGGATTCCTACTGCCCATTTAAAGGTTACATACACAYACAATACTGTTTCTGGCACTTGTAAAAAGGTTTTTAGAACATGATTAGAGCAACATACTGGTTTCTATGTTGCATAAAGGACTATGATTTTCAGAAGGCTTTTTCCAGCCTAAACCAATCAAATGTTCCTAACATTGGGGATTTCATTTATATTTTTGTACAATTTACAATCCCTTTACCAGATTCCCACAAAACTCTTGAGCTGAATGAGAAACCTTCAGATAAATGCACCCAAATAAGTTCTCCAGGAAGCACAGTAACTGCACGTTCTTTAWTGAAACATCACTGTTACTGCTGTCTTTTAATGATTCCTTCTACAAGCAGTATGTGAACACCCCACCTTAGCTCTGACAGAGATTGATATGGAAGGCCATCCATCAGTGCTCCCTCCAGCTCTGCCTACTGACTGCCTGCTCCCATTTCACGTTTAAAAGCAGCACTTAGCTGGTAGAATTGATGTTGTCAGACGCTGCTTTCAGATCAGTAAGGGCTTCACACCCTTTTGTGTATCAAACAATTCAATTCCATGCAAGGAAAGAAAGTGAATTAAAAGGACGGGATTCTCTGAACACCTCTCCAGGRCAGCAAAAATGGGTACAGAGTTCCTGCTCACCTGCTGGAGCAGTGTGAGTACCAAGGCCTGGATTTCACCTATTATTAGAACAGCAGATAACACATATATTCTTATACATAATGATCACTTACACTTGAAAGCATTAGCACAGCAGTGGCCCTGTAATCTACAGCAGTGCCCTGTAATCTACACCTCAGCTGTGCCAGTTTACTTTCCAGCTCCTTATCTCCTGCAAGGACCATGGGATCWGCAGTGCAGGGAGTTAACAGCAAAGCTCCACCAAGTGCTGGCACCAGCAGTCCCAAAGGCTCTCCAGGCTATGCCAGAGCCTACATGAAGGGACACAAATAACTGGACATGAGTTAACAGCTTCTGAAATGCCTTGTGCCCAACAGCAGATATGTTTATTTGGAATAAGGGCTACTACATGTGGATAAAGGAAGAATTTACTTTGAGGAAAGAGCATCAGTATAGAGACCACTAACCAAAACTTGTTCTTTTGCCTATTGTAATGACTTTCAGCAYAACAACAACAGAGCTAACTTTTGGATTTAGCCATCGTTTTCTGCCTTCTTTATCATTTGGAAATTCCATATACATATATATGCATAGGTATGTATCTCCCTGCATCTATGTATGATCACAAAGGCTCTATTTTAAAAGTTGTAAATCCGTTGCTTTAGTGTTCAYCTGAACATGTTAAGCAGCATTCTGTCATCATTCATTTCATAAACACACTGGGTCAGTAGATGAAAAATAAAAAATGAAGATAGAGAGGAGAAGAACAAAATCTTTTTCTTCCTCAAAGTAGAAAAACTCAACAGATGCTGAAAAATATTGAACATAAACTCAGTMARATACAAGAAAAAATACCCAAATACTCTAGAGAGATCATAGAATACCTTACAGCACACATCTTTATTGCATAAAAATACAAGTTTAAAGTTAAAATACCAGTAGAAACCCAACAGATAAGATAGATACAGTGCCTGGCTTACCTGTGTCCAGCCCCCAGCAAACCACTCCACTTTCCCAGCACAGGGCCCATTATTGCAGGGAGTTGTTTCCAAGGGTCTGTTGTTGCCACAGCCTTCCAGAGGCAAACTGCTGACATGGTTGGTCATGCAAACCACTGAGCGCGTGCGGATCCCGTCCCCACACTCTGCAGAGCACTGCGAGCAAGAGACAAACACAGTCACTCGTGTGCCCTCCAGACTGCACAAAGAAAGGACGAGCAGCAGTCATGGAAGCCACTTCATTTAGCAACGTCAATTTTTTTTACTTGAAATTCAGCTGTAGCAAATTGTCTTAGAGTTTCATACGTCTGAAAACACTAACAGTAGTACCTGTCTTTACAGTCAAAAATGAAAGGATTAGCTAAGAAAGAGATCTCTTGTTTTACTGCTTTTTGTTTGCTTTCATATTTTTCCTTCTGCCTGTAAATTCTTGCAGTTTTCATTTTATTCATTTTTTGCACACTACTTAGTAACTCTGAGAACAGATAATTTCAATGAAATGCTTTTCRGACAGCAGTCCTAATTCAGCCTTTGATTTGTTCTCTGAGTTTCTCCTCCAACCATTCAGGCTGTCAGCCAGSTGGATTTTACAGTGGCTGAAAGGGCAAGTTAAGGAAGACTCTGAGGGCTGTGGCACTGGGAGTCAAGTGACCACACAGCACATCCTGGAACTTCTCCCCATAACAAACTGACAGAGTCTGACAGCCCAATMAAGTAAAAAAATACTATTTCTTTTGACAAATGGTTTCAGAAGATTCAGGTAAATCCTCAGTAAATAACTGTAACTACCACTAGTTGTTGCCCAGCCTGTTTAAACTGTAAGTTTTTCATTAGTTTTACAATAGGTGGCCATAGAAGCTTATGTCCATACAATGTTGGTTTTTAATTATATGACTTCCAGTAAGTAATGTTCACCATTCTCAAAATAACACTGCTGAATTCTGAAAGCTCTTACTAAATAGAGATATGCAGATTCTCATGTCACATATTCAGAGACAGTGTGGATGGCAWCCACAAATCACAGGATAAATTCCATTTATGCCCTTGGAGTTTGCTCTTTCATCTACTGCAGCAGAAAAGTCTCCAATATTTCACTGTCCTAAGCASCATTAAACTATTGACATTTAAAAATCAGAAWCATGCCAAGGAAATAAGAAATTCTCATGTTTGACTGTTCTTTTGTTGCTTAATTATTTCTTAATCTTCCCTTTTGTTTTCTGTTTAAAGCATTTGACATTTCGTGTCTAGACTATAATGTAAGAAAAAACCTATGTGCAGCTCACTGAAAGATACATATAATGRAATTTAAACAAAGCAATTTTATTACACATGCAAAGAAATTCACAAATAAATATGCAATATATGAGAGAAAAAGATGCATTTGATTACTATTTTAGTTTTTATTTTTAACATACAATGTAATTAAGAGAAACTGTGTATTACTTCCACAATGAACACAGCATTCCTTAGGAAAGAATATAACTCTGCATCGGAACAGTTTTAAAATTTTATTGAAYGAGTCAAAAAACTGGTAATGAGACACAAAGTTGGCCATTAGCTTGATTTGGCTCCCATTGGTACCAGCATCAGGGTTCACTTCCAGTGTTCAACTACAAAACAGCAAATGCCATGACAACACCACTGTTAACGACAGGACCAACCAATACAGCCACTCACCTTCTCCAGAGAGGCCAGTGACTGAAAACACCATTGCTTACAAACTGCACTGTACTCTCTTTCACTGAGGAACACTGGTTACTTGTAGGAAACACGTAGTCATGTTACATTTATTTCACAGATACAGAATAGAAAACCACTTTTCCCATCAGCAAATCCTTTCTTTCACAAGATAGTCAAATAGAATAGCAAAGCTTTACTGAAATGAAATACCTGGAAAACCAAAGAAGTGATTCAACTCTTCAGAAGTAATTTTTCTAACAAAGTATGATTTTGGAAAAACTAGAAATTCAGGTTTMTTCCTTCATCTGCAAGACCAAGTAATTAAGCTTCTCTTAAATARTGCCTAGAAGTAACATAATGAACATATTTTTTGTTGGTGGTGCACAACAAAATTTTCCACTTTCACACAGGCATGTAAAATAGATTTCCCTCCTCAGCAAACCGATTTCATGGCTAAGGAGTCCTTTTCAAAGCAAAGTGGCAAAATCTTGAAAATGCAAAATCGATGCAAATTGTGCTAGTAGAGAAGACTTTCCTGTTTACATAAACTGCAATTACACTATACCCATGTGAGACAGGCCACTCACAGGTGAGCTGAGCCCCACACAGTGGCTCCCACTCAGGAATCAATTCTGTGGCTGTTTCCATTCCATCCTCTGCAGGTATGTCCAGTTACATTAAGCAGAGAGAACTATGCATATACTCTGCAAATACTTATTGCTARCTAATTTTCATTTGACAATCTAGTTTGCTTTTCTGCTTTGCGAACCAGAGCTGGGWACAAATTTAGTCTGTAAAGTCACTCAGAAAATCTCCCTAGTCCTACGTTTTCAATGATTATATATGATCTAGGCTTCCATATCAAATAACAGAGGACATACCAAATGGGAAGGYATAGGGCTGTTCCACTCTCTGCTGCAAGATTTTACTACAGATTAACTACTCTCTAAGGATTTAGAAAGCAAACTTAAACCTGAATATTTCATGTTATATATTTGTTTTTTCATGTTTTTATTTTCTTTTCGGCAAAAATCTATGTGAAAACCATGGATTTCTGAAATCCAAGGCAGGGAGTAGGGAGCTGGATAATGAAACCTCTCCCCTTGGTTTTCACAASTGACACACCCATTACTTTCAATTTGGTGCCATTGATTTCATGCATTAATACATAGTAACTGCCACAAGCTACCACTGTAAAACATGAGGAACTTTCACAAGCTGCAGCTTTATTCTGGTCCTATTATTAAAGATATTTTGTTTCACGGTCTTATTTTAATTGGCACAAATTCCTCAGAAACCTCCATCTGTGTTTTAAGGAGTCTGCCATTTTTCCTCTCCCTGAGGTCCTTCCCTCATGAGTTCAATTTCAGAAGCTTTCCAAACCCATTAAAAACTAAAAATAAAACCCCTCATTCAGGGCTCTGATAGTTGTTGGAAAACAACTGAGGAGCAGTCCAGGAAAATAAGGCAARTTCATGCAAACTTGGAAAACTCTAAGTGGAAGCCTGAATTTTTGTCACAGCTTCTATGCAAGGGTAGAGCAAAAAATCCCCCTTAGCAGTGCCAGTTCCCCTTCACTAATGTGCCAGCCCTACTCATTACCCTCAAATGGGGCAACAGACCACAGGAAAGAGGCAGCAGGAATTCTCCTGGGCCTCCAGAGTCCGGGTCTCAGCATCACTGCTAACCTGAATTAAATTTTCAAGCAACAACCAATTGAGTTTGAGTGGAACACGGCCATTTGTGCAGGATTTGTGCGTAACACACTTTTCACCTTCATCACCTTAATTATTTCCCACAAGACAGTAGAGATTTTATCAGTCATCCTCCTGATGTTACACTACAAATAAAAAATGAAAATGAAGATTTATGTTTCAAACACATTTACAGAAGTCCTCAGCATTATTTGACCCAGTCTGAGAAAATCAATTTCAGAAGGGATTTTAGAAAGATTATGTAGTCTTTGTTTTTCCAATAATACACTGAGAATTGTATTTCAGAAGATCACTTCTGCCACAGTTCCAAGACTGGGCCAATTTTTCAAAGGAAGTAAGCCCACTGAGAGCAGCCGTGATTTCTCAAAAAAGAAAAAAAAAATTAAAAAAGAGTGTAGGAAGAAATATCCTTTTGCATTGTCAAAACATGTTCTGATCCCTAGAATTAAATTGTTTCCCTTTAGAGTGCACCTATGCATACAGCAGGTGCTGGATCAGTCCAGCAGCTCCAGGGCATCCTTCCAAGGCAGCAGCC